TATGGGCTTTCCGTTTTGTAATAGAACCGCTCCAAGGGCATATGAACTGGCGTCTACTGAAAGTGTCAGATTTCCGTTGGGGTTAAAGAATTTCAGAGTTGGTGCAGTTCTGAGCAAAGTCTTGATCTCTAAGAGATCACGATCGAGGGATTCGTCCCATAGCCAAGGTGTATCTTTTTTCAAAAGCAACCTCATGTTTTTGGTTTTCTCTGCAAGGTTAGGGATGAACCTGCTCAGGTATTGTACCATTCCTAAGAGACGTTGTAGTTCTTGCTTGTTGCTTGGCGACTTAATTTCTCCTATTGCACGCACTTTCTCAGGGTCAATTTTAATGCCTTCTGTCGTGACAATATGACCTAAAAATTGGACTTCTTGAAGTTGAAATTTGCATTTATCTCTATTCAGTTTGATTCCATTTTCTTTAAGCCTCTGTAGTACAGCTCTTGTTCTTATTTCCAGGGTCTGTGGATCCGGAGCATGGATCAGGATATCGTCCATTGAATTTTCTGTACCCTCAAGGTCTTGGAGTAAGTCTGCCATGATTTTTCTGGAATATTTCTGGAGCAGTTTTAATTCCAAAGGGAACTCTCAAGAACATATATCTTCCCCACGGAGTGCTGAAGGTAAAGTAGCGTTGTGAGTTGGGGGCTACTTTGATCTGCCAGTATCCTTTCTTCAGATCCAACTTTGTGAAGTATTTTGAACCATGCAGGTTTACTGCAATCTGATCAAAAGTCCGTAATGGGAAATGGCTTCTTAGAATTACTTTATTGATATCCGATGGGTCAATGCATATACGTATTTTTCCTTTCTGTTTTGCTATAACCATCTGACTGGAGATGGGGGTAGGGTAATTTACTTTCTTTATAATCCCATTGTCTTCCATTTCCTCAAGTTCTTTCTTTACTCTTTCTTTAATAGATAGAGGAATAGGTCTGGGTGGTCTTACTTGCATGTTCATGTCCGAAGTCTGAAACTTTGCCTCGTATTCATATCCTTTCAAACATCCTATCCCTTCGAATAATTCTTGGTATTCCTGTGTAATTGCTTGACAGGTGTTTACTCGCTTGACAAGACCTAAATTGGAACAGGTTTGTCTGCCTAGGATGGGACATGTGTTATCTCTGGATATGATGAAACGTATGTAGGCAGTCATGTTTTTCACCATGCACATTGCTAGACTTTGTCCTTCGACAGGAATTCGATGTCCTGAAAAGGAAATTAAACTTTTTACTGGAGACCTTTGGATTTCCAGATTTAATCTCCCTGCCAGGCTAAGTGGCAACACGTTACACTGTGCACCTGTGTCTAGTTTCATGTTTACCTTTTTGCCTTTGATTTTTACTTCTTCATACCAATCTTCTGTCAGGTTGGTGTTTTCAACTGACTGGATTACAAATTCTTGAATCATTTCAGGTTCTGGTGACCCAACAATTTGTCTGATTTTGTATGAATTTGTGTTCTTGGATCTGCAAAGATTAGCAAAATGGTTGAGTTTCTTGCATTTGTTGCATCTCTTTTGATATGCCGGACATTGGTTGATTTTGTGGGATCTACCACAATTTCTGCAGTTTTCTATTATTTTGTGACTTTGGTTAGTGGTATTTTCTTTCCTCGGCTCTTTTCTATCTTCCCACTTCTTACTGTTCATCTTTGTCACAGCAACTTGTTTGTCTGAGTCGGATAGTACATGTTTCATTTGGTTTGTGGCATTTTCACATGCTATGCAAATTTGTGTAGCTTTTCCTCTCGTCCCATTGCAGCCATAAAGATAGCAACTTGTACCTCTGGTGCTTTACTACTTAATTGGGTAGCAATTTCATACCATTCAAAGCTTTCAAGCCAAGATTCCCAGCCCTCTTTGTTTAGTTCGTTTAGGCCTATTTGTTTTGGAGGTCGAATAGCATTTTCCGCCATGTTGTTGTCATTGTATTTTTTTTTTCTTCTAAAAATACACTTATTTCTTCTTGCTTGTAAATTAAATTATTTTGTATATATTATTATGCAATTTGAATTTTTATTTGAACATGCAATTAGAGATGTTCTGAAATACTTTAAGAAATTGGAAATTAATAAATTGTTCTTACCACGTGGTGTTGTTTACAAGCGCCGCTGCCGCTGCCACCATGTAACGTCCTCGTATTTGTTGACGTTAATAAGCAAGAAGTATTTGGAAGTTTAAAAAGAAATACTTTATTTCTTTTAGGCCAACATCAGATATAGCATATTAATTATAAGACATATGTTTACATGTGGTAGATATTAAAAACAGTCAAAAGGCAACTGCACAGAGTATCATCAGTGATAAATATGTGTTCACTGATAATTTACTATATAGGCATGCCAGCTGCCGTTACAGCTTCCGCCGCACTTGGAACGTTCATTTCCCCGGCAACTGATGACTCGTCTTCATCACCCGATGCCTCGTCGCCGTCTTGTTTTTCAATGTTGTGGTTGAGCACTTCAGCGATGATATCTGCGTCGGTTATCTCACCACATACTGCAACATCGTCATCCACGTTTAAGAAATCGTCATACAAGATGGTAGGATTAGAAATGACGTCCTCCCAGCCGTCAACTGAAGGCATCGTTTCCGCTATAATATCATCTGCATTTTCTTCATCCTCCTCCTTTTGTACGAAACCAGCTTTTTTAAAACAGTGTTTGATCGTTTCGGACGTTACTTGGTCCCAAGCTTTCTTACACAATCGAGAGGCTTGAAGAACGTCTAGTTTGATTTTAAGGCTTCGGAATCTCCTGTCAATATGTTCTCAACTAGAAACCGTCTGTAAAAATGCTTAAGATTTTTGATGACTCCCTTGTCCATGGGCTGGATAACCGAAGTCATGTTGGCAGGAAAAAAAATTACTTCCACATTTTCCATTGGAGGGATTGAGTTGTGTGCAGTACAGTTATCGATAAATAAAATAACTTTTCGTTTTTCTTTTGTGAACTTTTTGTCCAAGTTCAACAGCCACTTCTCAAAAAGATAACTAGTCATCCAAGCTCTTACGCTGTTTGCATAGTCCACTGGCTTCGTTTTGACGTTCTTGAAACAACGTGGATTGGCTGCCTTGCCTATCATCAATAGAGGAAGCTTTTCAGATCCATCCATATTTGCACCAACCAGGAGAGTGACTCTCTCTTTGCTTAGTTTTCCCCCGTGACATTTTTCATGCTTAAAAGCTAGCGTTTTGTCAGGGGTGCATTTAAAAAAAAGACCCGTTTCATCAACATTGAAGACGTCTCTAGCTTCTTTATCCTGGATCAATTCCCGTAAATTATTTTTCCATTGTTCTGCTACTTGGAGATTAACGGCCCCACTTTCTCCACAAATGGTTTTGAACGAAATTTTGTTGCGTTCTTTGAAGCCCTCTAGCCACCCAGAACTCGCCTTAAAATCGGTTTTCCCCATTTCAGTAGAAAATTGTTCAGCTTTGCTTCTTATAAGGTGACCACTCACGGGAATCTTCTTATCTCTTGCTTGCTTGAACCATTTTAAAACACATTTGTCCAAATCAGGATTTCCCGGCTCCCTTAAACCCTTTTCGGCCTTTATCACACTCACTTTCACTCCTGAGAATTTTTTCTTTATTTTTTAAGTACGTCGACAACGTGTTTCGAGGAATCCCAAAGTCCTTAGCAATATCGGATTTTTTTTTCATCCCCATCTCTACTTCTTTAATCGCCGCTATTTTTTCAGCCAACGTCAAAGTTTTGTATGTTCGAAGCGCCGACATATTCGCTCCTTTTAGCTTTCTTGATAAATAAGGAGTCTCAAAAATCCAATAAAAATAAATTTATTATATATAATACTTCTCTTGCGGCAAGATATTGCCACGTGGAAAATTAGGAAAGACAAACTTCGGCGTGACACAGCAATTTATTTAAGGCAAGGACAAACTATAATTGATAAATAAAAGATAAGCAATGAGGGAAGTTTACAGAGTAGCAAAATATAAACATAAAAATTGATAACTCTGTTAAGAAAATAATTAATAATAATAAAATAACAAATTCGTTGTTACAATATTACAACGTCATTCGCAAAATTTCACGCCTTGAACCGGCCTCCAGGTCCTTATTTTAACTGTTAAAAGTTCGAATTATCCAAGACATAATTCGAATTAACCACGATTTTTTAACATTATTTATATAGGAAATTCTAGGGACCAAGATAAACATTCGAATTAAAGAGGTTTTCGAATTAAAGAAGTTCGAATTATCCAAGTTCTACTGTAGTAAAAATGGTAATTTTGCAAATAAAAACTGTCCATTATAGAGAGATGTCCTCTAGCGTGAGTGTCCTCTCATAGAGGTTCTACTGTATTTTAATGGATTTTTAAAGGGAGAGGTGCCTAATTTTTGATGCATAAATACCAACTTGTCGTTATATTGCATTTAATACAATACATTAGCCCAATTCTCCTTTTGTCATCCAGTGAAAATGAAAGAAATATTTCCATGAAAGCCAACGCTTGGATTCCAATAAAGAAAATTTCCTTCGTCTTTATTACAGTCAATTTGGACATTAATAAAAGGTGAGATTTTCTATTTTGTGAGATAGAATGGAAGAAAAAAATACTTTCTATATAATAAAATTTAATATTTTCTATTTTTTTAAAGCAATTTTGAGAAATATTCACCCGGTTTTTTTTCAAAAGTCTCTCTTTGTTCCCTATTGTTTTTTTTTTTTTTTTTCTTTTCACACATCTGGTCACATTTCTCTCTCTGTGATTAAATATTGATAAACACTTTTATTTTTTCATAGAAAAATCATTAATAGTCGAATCGATTTTTAAAATGTTCTGAATGAGATGTGTTTTTTTTTTTTTTCGTGCATTTTATATGAAACTAGCCGAATGACCCGGGCAACACCCGTGTTTTACCCGATTAAATGCTTTTATTCAAATACTATTCGTTACAATTATAAATTGGCGCCGTGGATGTCATTCTTGTATAATATATAAATGAGTTTTAAAAATTGTAAAAAAAAAAAATGCATCGGCCGGGAATTGAACCCGGGCCGGCCGCGTGGCAGGCGAGTATTCTACCACTGAACGAACCGATGGTTATGAGAAATGGTCATATTTGGGTATTTATTCCATTCACAAAAAGCAAACGGTGACAGAATTGATTATTAAGAATTGTTGCTTGATGACTCTGATAACTGTATATATTAATTTTTTCTTTATTAAATAAAATCCTCTAAATGATAGAATTAAGCATTATATATATGTGTGTGTGAAAAACAATAAAAAAAAAGGTCAGGTGTTGATATTAAAAACAAAAGAAGGTATATCCTGACCAGGCTCACATGAGCTTTTCTAGATAGCAGAGCGCCATCTAGTGGAACAAAAATAAACTAAACATTTATTTAACTTATTCCGTGATATTTGCCCAACCCAATTCTTGATAAATCAAGAAAAGTCATCCACGAACACGTTTAGGACTGTTGGCCCTGTCAGCGTGGTGCAGACTGTACCTCTACTACCAAAATTGGTCCCAGAGGTTTCCTGAGAAATCAAGAAATGAGTATTTAAGGTCATACTTGCGTAAAGACGCTTAACACATGAAAAAAACAAAAGAAAAAAAAAAGATGAGTGGGTCAGGTGTTGATATTAAAAATGGCGCTCTGCCATCTAAAAAGCACATGTGCTCGTGGTCAGGAGATGCCTTCTTTATTTTTAATATCAAACACCTGACCCACTTATCTTTTTTTTTCTATTATTTTTTCATGTGTTAAGCGTATTTACGCAAATTTGCCCCTAAATACCCATTTCTTTATTTCTCAATAAGCCTCTGGGACCAAAAATCTTTTTGGTCGCAGTGATTACAGCCTACTCCACGCTGACGAGCGCCAACAGCGCGAAACGCGTTCGTGGATAGCTTTTCTTGATTTATCAAGAAATTGGGTTGGCCAAATATCACGGAGCAAGCTAAATAAACGTTTAGTTTATTTTTGCTTCACTAGATGGCGCTCTGCCATCTAAAAAGCACATGTGCTCGTGGTCAGGAGATGCCTTCTTTATTTTTAATATATATATATATATATATATATATATATATATATATAGTGTAAAAACTATATAACAAAAATATAACAGTGATTCCACATTTAAAACTCAAGGAGCAAACTGATAAGAATGATAAATCATATCAAGTAGATTTGGTTAGATTAGCAAGCTAAATCTAAATAATTATAACAATAAATAGTTGTATAGTTTTATATTTAAGTTTTGTATTAAAAATTATCTTCATTATATATATATATATTATATATATATAATAATATATATATATATATATATATATATATATATAATAATAAATAGTTATTTAATTTTATAGTCCAGTTTTGTATTAAGATTATCTTCACTATTATGATCATTTAAATACAAATTATAAAATTTGTAAAATGTTATTAATTTGTAGATAGAGAGAGAAAAAAAAAATCCTTTACTTCTATTACATCCTCAAGTTAATTATATATTTATAATTAATAACAATAAAAAAAATTAACAAAGTAACGTCTATTACATCGGCTTTTACACGTCATTCAGACATACTCTAATCCTATATATAGAATAATCGAAGAGATAATATATATAATAGTTAGAAAAAAGAGAGAAAGACAGAACCATGCACTTTTAATCAAACTAATAATAAGGAAAAAAAAAAAAAAAGAGTTTTATAAAGAAGGTAGATAAGATTGTTAGTATATATATATATATTTTTTTATGATTTTATATTTTATCCTTTTTTTTTTTTTTTTTTAAAGATTTTTAAAGGTTTTTTTTATTTTATAATATGATTATAAATAGTTGTATTTAGTAATATATCTATAGTATGAATTAACATTTGTTATAAGTTTGGATATTATGTTTTGAAACCCTAATGGTAGACCAGACATACACAAAAAACTTTAAATTGAAATAAATTGGAAAAAGAGATCTGCTGGAACGGGGATCATCAGATAAAATTCCAGCGACATTTCAACCCCTTCTTTATTATGTCATAGATCTCTTTTAAACCGTATTTTATGTGTTAATATTAAGTTGTTTCAGTGAAATATTTAAATGAACATATAACAGATACAAGTGTTAACAAATTCAAACTGTAAACCTACCTTGGCCGCTGCGTCCTCCATTGTGTATATCTATTTCTGGCTGGCACATGTCGCGGGGAGGGGAATGTCCCCCCACATTTCAAATTTAGACCATTTATTCAGAATTTTTTTGAACAACAAGAAAATTAAAGAAGATAGGAAAAATAGTTAAAGGAAGAAAGCTAAGTTTTATAATCTTTACAGATAGTTATATCAAAATAACTGATTTAACACTTATTCATCTTTTAATATTCCTTTAAAAAGGCAAATTATAAGAGTTTAATAAAGCTATTAATTGTGCAAATTCATCTTTATTTAACTTCCATTTTCCTCCCCAGAAATTGGAGATTAAACAAAAAATGAACTATATACTTTAACACTTTAAAAATCTTGTGAAAAAATCTTTTAATCAGTTATTTAATAAAAGTTTAATTAACTGTTAAAGATTATAAATTTTGTATTAGTTAATATTAAGAGAAATTATAGAAAGTTGATTTCATAAATGGATATTTCCATTTATTTTTTTTTTAATATTTTATAATTGATATACTGTTGAAATATTTTACTTGTTTGATACTAAATTTGTTTTTAATAAATTCCATGTTTAAATTTTTAACATCTTCTATGAAATTATCTAATATATTATTTATTCTATAAAATCTTAGAAACTGACCATAATATATACCTTTACAGCAATTTAATGATATATTAGAATTCATATTACAGTATTTTATAATATTGAAATTATAATTACTCTTTTTATTATAAACTCTAACAGCACTATTTGTAAGGTCTATATTCAAGTCTAAAAAGTTAACTTTTTTGTTTCTATAAAATTTTTTCATTGTTCTTAAGTTTCAAGTATTTAGGATATATTTCAGGTATTAATTTTTTAAACAGTGGATTATTAAATATTATTATGTCATCTACATATCGGAATATTTGCCAATTAATATTATTTTGTAGAAAGTATTCTCTTTCGTACCAGAACAATATTAAATTTGCTAGTAACGGACTAGAAGAAGTACCCATGGGAACGCCTTCTGATTGAATATATATTTTATTTTTAAATTCTATATAGTTAAAATTTAAAAATGTTTCCAGTAGAGTTTTTTGCTGTTTTAAGATCTAATTTAAATGTTTTATATCTGTTATGAATAATTTTAATGTAGAAAGTTTTGTCATTAATTAATTCATTAAATAAATTGGTTATTTTATTATTTAGATCTCTTAAATTTATTTTAGAATATAGGTCCTCAAAGTCAAATGTTTGTACTGTTTCAATGTTTGTCCAATTGTTCATTAAATAATTAATGATTTTTTATTTGAGTCGATAAATTTATAATTATATTTATTAGTTAATTTATTTATAATAAATTGTAGTGTTGAGGCTAATTGTATATCAATATTTTTTATGACTGAATTTATACCAGATGTGATTGTTCTGAAAGAAATAGGTTTTTTGTGTAGTTTAGGAATTATATAGAACTTTGGTATGTTTGGATTTTTGTGGTTATTATAAATTTTTAGTGAATTTTCAACATTTTTGATGTCTTTTTTTGATTTTTGTGCCTGTAGTTCTAGCAAAAGTGTATTTATGATTATTATCAATTTCCTTTTTTCCTATATATATATATATATATAATAATAAATAGTTATTTAATTTTATAGTCCAGTTTTGTATTAAGATTATCTTCACTATTATGATCATTTAAATTCAAATTATATAGTTTCTACACTATATATATATATATATATATATTGCATTCATAAGATTTGATTATGAGAAATTGGTTAATAGCTTGCCTTATGATATTCTGCTTTTAGTGCTATTTGGCGTGTGAATTAATTTTATGAATTAATTTACAGGAAATTGAATTTTTACAGTTACCTTTAATATTAAAATATAAAACTAAGGTTTATTTTGGATCTAATAAATTCTATTTATCCAATATTGTATTATATATTGTAGCAAAGTATTTATTAATTTTATTATTTTTATTAACAGAGTGGTCATTTTTATGTTTATATTTTGCTACTCTGTAAATTTCCCTCGTGGCTTATCTTTTGTTTACCATTCATAGTTGGTCCTTGCCTGAAATAAATTGTTGTCTCCTCCTGAAGTTTTTGCCTTCCCTAATTTTCCACGTGGCAATATTTAAGTTTTTACTGAGTAATTATTTGTTCTAATGAATATTTAAAGGGAGAGGTTCCTCTTTTGATACATGAATACCATCTTCCCGTAATTTTTTTCTGTATAAATTCATACATTAAAAAAGGCACCTCTCCCTTTGAATATGCATTAAAACAAAGAAATATGTTTATTACCTCAGTAAAAACTTAAACGTGGTAATGAAGAATGAGCCACAATAACAGTTTCGGAAAATAAGGGTAAATAAATGATTTTTTTTTATCCAATATATGCCTTTTTAATATACTGTATTGTATATAAATCTCTATATCTTCCATAGATAAAATAATAATATATAATATTAAATATGAATATAATTAATTGCTGTATATAAACTGAAGGCAATAGTTCAGTCAAAGATACAGTTCTTTCATTGGCCTTGTAGAACGAGAGTGGTGTACGCGTGCGCGCGTGTTCTAGTGAAAAACACAAAATCCTCGATAAAGAGAGGCGAGTTGCCCCTCGAAATATTGGAACAATAAAAATAATTAGAAATCCAATATATGCATCTTTTTTAAATATATATATATGTGATAATCCTTTTTTAAAATTTACAGTTAAAAGAGAGAGAGATTTGAGATTTAAAGATATTTTATTGACCTCATACACAAGTCAATGGTAGTAGTATATAATAATTATAAAAAGAGGGATAAAATAAAAGAGTAAAACTATATACAGTTATGTACAGTCCAGGAGACAAAGAGTCCTCCTCCAGACAGTAAGGGGGTTCTCCCCTCATCTCAAGGCTCAGAAAGAACCTGTGTATGGATGAC